TTTTTTTTTTTTTTTTTTTTTTGGTTTTAGGACAGGGTCTTACTATGTAGCCTAGGCTGGCCTCAAGCTCCTGGTAATCCTCCTGCCTCAGCCTCCTGAAGGCTGGCATTACAAGCATGCAACACCATGCCCAGCAAAAATTTTATTTTCATAAAACACTCTATAATACAAAACAGCCTCTAAACTACAATATAAAATATTGTACACAAAAATATATACATCAGTTAAATAAAAACTTGTTTAAGTATTTTAATATTAAATGTACTGAGTCATCATGAGATTAAAATAAGCTACTTTTAGCCTCTACAATTACAAGAGATACTCAAACTGGTGGCCATTAGCTTGTAGACATCTATTAGTATGGCGAACTGCTAAAGTGTGTATGTTTTTTGCGGGGCAGATTCTTTATTTATACGCACATTTTCTAACTAATATGTAGAAACACTTGATGTATTTAGTCAAGTTATATTTCAGAAGCATTTTTAGCATATATAAAAACACTCAGTGGTTCTGCTGCCTGCCTCGCAAGCTCAAGGACCCAAGTTCAATCCCCAGTACTCAAACAAAACAAAACAAAACAAAACACATGTATCCCCCTTTTTTCAACAAAATGATGTCACTGCAGTTCCAACGGACCACACTCATAGGAGGGCATTGAGAAGGCATGCAGAATATAAAATAGTACTGTAACAATAAAACATTCAGTCACTTCTCACTTTGGGCCACATTAGAATATACTAAACAAGTCTCCATCAGGTGATTCTTTAGGACAGGAAAAAGTAATTCTAATTACTGTCTTTAGCTTAAAAATGAATTTAGAATAAAATTTTTTTATCAATTCAGTTAAAATTATCATCCACTTTAAATGAGTTTTATTTGGTTTCATAAAACAGTTTGATCTATACTTATAGCCACTTACAAAAGAGCACTGTGCTGCAGTCTTTAATGATTGCTTTTTGCTTGTTTTATTTGAGATAAAGGAGAATGAACTCAATGCCTCATTCATGCTAAACTATTGAGCTGCACTCCCAGCTCTGATGAAATTTTTTTTTTTCTTTTTTTGGTACTGGGGATCAAACTCAGGTCCTTGAACTTGCGAGGCAGGCGGTGGAATCACTGAGCTAAATCCCCGGCCCTGATGGAAGTATTTTTAAAAGGGTATGTAAAGTTTGTCTTTTCCTGGGTCCATTTGTCCAATGCACATCACTCACAACACATAATCACTATTATTAGTTACCCTTTCAGAGACAACTGTGTGTATACATAAGCTAAAAGAAAAGATTACTTCGATTTTAACACAAATATTAGGATAATAAATATTTTTTCTTCAGCTTGCCTTTATTTTTAAAATTTAAACATACTGTCAGCTAAGTGAGTAGAGATGTGATGACAGAAACAGGGGTGATAAGAGATTTCAAGATGCTGTGTTGCCTACTTTATTTTTTTTTAATTTAAAAAAAAACTTTTTTCTATTGGTCAGCAATGATACCAGTAGACTTTACAAAATTGGGCCTGCAGAATGTGAGGCAAGTGGTCTGCTTGGTCAGGTGCCAGCACTAGGCCAGGCACAGAGCCTGGGGCTGGGCTACCTTCATCCTCACGAGGGTGGCAGGGCTGGCCCAGGTGATCATGAGGAGGACAGAGGCCCCTAGGGGCTTACTCTTTGGCGATGGCAAAGGGCTACTCCACCTTGATTATGCTGCAGTCTCTGATGATCATGTCCTTCAGGGGCTTCTTCCGGCTGTCTTGGTGCTCTCCACATTCCACACCACCTCCATGCCCTCTAGAACTTTCCCAAACACCACATGCTTGCTGTCTTGACTGTAGTGATGAAGAACTGGGAACTGTTCATGTCTTTACCAGCACTGGCCATGCTCACCCAACCGGGGCCATAGTGCTGCAGCTTGAAGTTCTCATCTGGGAAACGCTCACTGGAGATGCTCTTGCCTCTTGTGCCATCTCCTCTGGTGAAGATTCCACCCTGGATCATGAAATCTTTCATCACAAGATGGAATTTGCTGTTTTTTGTAGCCAAATTCTTTCTCTCCTATAGCTACGGCTACAAAATTATCCACTGTCTTTGGAACACACTCCAAAATGACCAAGGACCACCCGGCCCACATCTTCATCTCCAACTCAAAGGTCAAAATACACCTTGACGGTGACATCGCCCCTTCTTCTCATCGGCTGAGGAAGGTCCTGGCAGCAGCAGGAAGCAACTGAGCCCACAATGATGGCAGCAGCAAAAAGAAGCATCAGACTGCACTCCAAGAGGTGCACATCCACTGGCAGGAAAGAGCATGGCCAGATGCAGCCTGGGTGGGCTACTTTAAATACTCAAGAGGACACCAGCCAAGGGATGCAGGTAGCTCCTAGAATGTGACACAGATATCTACAAAACTGAGTTTCTCTACAGCCTCTAGAAGGAGCAGAATATTTCTAGAATCTCGTTTTAGAATTTCTGACCTTAAAAACCATACCACTGATAGATTTATGATCTTATGAGCCATTAATTTTAATTAATGTAATAGCAGCAACAGAAAAATTATGATACAGTTAAGACCATCAAGCACTGCACTGTTTTAAAAAGGAACAAGGATGTACTGATATGGAAATATTTTGGGACTACACTGAGACACCAGGATAATCCAGGATAATCTTACAATTATTAATTTAATCACAAATGTGAAGTCTCTTTTGCAATGTGAAGTAACATACTCATAGGTTCTGGAAATTAAGGTGTGAACATATGAGGGAGACCATTATTCAGCCTACTGAGATACATATACTGGCCCTTTATACTTAGACTCAATTTTTTAACAGCCCTTTAAAAGAAAAAGCTTAATATATATACTTACTGGTACTGTAGAAGTTTCTCAACAGCAGGACCTGAAAGGGTGTATTCTTATGCCTGGCTCCTAGCTTGTCTTTTGCTTCTTGGCTACCATGGGGTAATCAGCTTTCCTCCACTATGTCCTTCTGCCATGTCATTTCTGCATTTGAGACAGTTAACCATGGACTGAAACTTCTGAAAGCATGAGCAATCTTTTCTTTATATTTCTGGTGTTGAGTATTTTGTCCCAGCAATGGGAAAGTGTGACTAATACACTCACCGTGGTACTATACTATCATTCAGTACAAGGAACTATAAATTCATCTAACATAAATCCAAACATTATGAAAGCTAAAAAATGTAGTGTGTTCAACAAAAAATTTAAACTGAAGAATCAGAGAAAAAGAATTTGAGAATCTTACTATGGAGCAGCTATGGAGGCATCTTATACACACAGCATAGAATCTTAATAACATAGTTATTATGTAACACAATTTTGCACTTCAATAAAAATTTCCTATTCCCTTCTACCCAAAATTCTCCATTCTTAGCATCTAACGGAATTCTGAGACTTTATCCACTATGGTTCACCAACTACAATGTAATTATCTTGAGGGAAATTATATATACAAAAGGTAGGACATCTAAAATATACTGCAGTGGGGAAAGATATAAATAAGGTCAGATGTAAACTGACAATTATTGAAGCCTGATGATAAATATATAGGGATCTATTTTACTATTCTATTTCTGTGTCCTGAAAATACACATAATTCATAAATACATGTAATTTAAACTCCTATTATTTACTACAATACAACAATGGCATTTATCATTATTTTTCAATCCAGAGGCCCATTATGATAAAAAGATACAATTGCAATACACTAAACAGAATGGGAAAAAAACAGGATGAGTCAGATGAAATGAACTTTTTTTTTTTTTTTTTTAAAACAAAGATTTTTTTTTTTTTTTTTAAACAAAGGACAGTAATCAGAGTAAAACTGAAACAGTAGTTCATCCAGACAATCTGTGGGAGTTAACACTATTCAAAACTTTTAATTATACTGGTCTTTCACATATAAATTTCATAGGTTTTAAAGGAGAAGAATACCTGTTACTGGACCTACCTACCTTCACTATACAAATAACTGAATTTTAAAAAGTGAAAGGAATAAAGCAAAACACATTTTTATTAAACCAAGGATGTAAAATAGATAAGCAGGACCACAAATAATATCTGGATTACTCTGAAAATTAACTATTCATAGTGAAGAGCTCTCACTGAGGACTTTCTTTATACTTTACAGAACTGGAGAAGTCCTTTTCCAAATACTAGTTTGAGATCAAATAAGGAGTATGTGCCAGCATGTCAATCAAATTTACTACTCTTGTAATGGGAGTCTTATAATCAAGAAGAAAAAAGGTCAGTCAAACAAACAGCAAACTAGTTCCTTAGTTGGTTTATCTTCTGGTACAAAACCCACATGCTCTGTGGACTAGGCATGTCTTTGGGTGGTTCTCAGCTCTGGTTCCCCATGGCTACCATCTGGAAAGCTGTATAAAATGTGAACCTCTGGATGCCTCTTCCAGTTAACTGTTCCAGGGTAGGACTCATGCATAATTATTTCCACTGATCTAGTCCTATCCCATTTTGCAAATAAGTGAACTGAGGCTTAGAAAACCAAATAATTTATTTTGAGTTTATGGACCCTGATAATAAAAAGAATTCTATTTGCTTTCCATTGTACTGCTCACCAAAGCTTACTTTTCTTCTTCACAGTTTCACAGACCGAACATTTATTCTTACTGCAGACCTGATATCTAAGATAGCTGCTATATACTAATAGGCAGGTAGCATATATGATGTGAAGGGATGATTCATATCGGAGAAGGATAGGGTGCGACAGTATGAGAGCTCATTATTCAACAAAGAAAAGCACCCAATTTAAAACTTCTTATTTCTGAAATTTTCTATTTGACATTTTTGGATTAAGACTTACTGCAACCTTGAAAAGGAAAACCTGCTGATTAGGGAGAATTATTATGTTAGTAAGTTAACCAGTATTTAAAAATCAAATGGAAAAGCATTGTTTTTCCCAACTGGTAAAGATTCTGCAATTCTTTCCTGATTTAATGCTAACAGTAACACAGTTAACCAGTACATTCGGGTCAATGACAAGGGCATGTTGGTTTAAAAAAGGCCTAGGGCTTTGTAAATCTTTCTACAAGTCCTAAAAACTGGAAGAAGAAAAAAAAAAACACACACAGATGGACAAGCTTCTGGAGTGCTTTGCTTCTTTTTCATTTGAAAAGAAAACTATACACTAATTTGCTTTTATTTTTACTGAAATACATTTCTTCTGGGCATGAATCCAAAAAGTAGTGCACATATCACAGAAACCTAATTAGTTCTACTTGTAAGACCATTTCATTTAAACTTTGTCTTTACCAGTTTGCATATGTTCATGAATGTGTTTCTTTACCTTTTGAAGCTCAAGATTCTTTGTCTGGGTAAATCTCTAGTCTTTTATCCTAATATCTTCTTCCTATCTTGTCTCAGCTGAATTAGGTGCCTCTCCTTTGTATTTGTTTTGTTTTGTTTTTGTTTTTTGAGACAAGGTCTCACTATGTAGTTGAGACTGATGTGGAACTCACTATGTAGCCCAGGCTGGTCTCAAACTCACAGTGATCCTCGTGCCTCAGCCTCCCTAGTGCTGGGATTATAGGCGTGCACCACCATGCCCGGCTTCCTTTGTATTTATTTATCTCTCTCCCCAATATATAGAAGAATATCTCACTTTAATTAAGATTTGTTCCTGTAAATCATACTAAGTCAAAACTCAATGAGGAATACTAATTTTCTCATAGGACAAAGAAATGCAGTAGGTGACATATAGGTGACATGGTGTGGAAACATATGTATCTATAATAATTTGTAACATTTTTGTATTACTATTGCTTTTGTTTTCTCAGCCTTAACACTAGTATTTTCTAAAGTTTTCTCTCTCTGAAATTTACTGCATAATAGGTTTGGTCTTAATGGCATTTTACCATATAAATCATAACTTCTTTTCTGAAGTTAGTAATTTCTGGAAGCATATTTTTCAGTATTGCTACTGACAACATAATGGGTGAATGACCTTGTTAAAAGATACAAACACATTTAAAATTAAAATCAAAACAAATTATCAAAAATTCTAAACCACAGAGAAAGAGGCAGATGTGCCCAGGATTTAGCTCAGTGGAAACATGCCTGCCTTTTCATTGCAAGGTCCTGAGTTTGCATCCCTGGTACAGGAAAAAAAAGAGACAAAAAAAGACAGAATGAGAAACTTAGATGACACTGTCAGAAGATTATTTCTACTTAAATATTAAAGCACTGTAGCTGTGTGGCACAAGTACCTACACAAGATTTACGATTCACAGAATATTTTCTTTAGTCTTTAATTATACTGAATTACATTAACCAGAATCCTACTACTAAACCACCCTTGCATTCCATGACTAAGTGATATTTGTTTCTGATTTATTCTTTTAAAATACTGCGGGACTTGATATACTAATATTTTAACATGTACTTTCATAAAGTGACTGGAGAGGTAACAGGAGTCTGTAAAGCAAGATCTTTTAAAACAAATTAGAGCAAGTATCTTAAAAGCAAAATATTCTTTCAGAAAATTACAGAGTTCTGGTATGATCCAATTTGTCTTTTAAAGGACTGTGTGAATGTTGTACGGTATATAACTATATAAGAAAGAGGTGAAAAAACTGGTAGGAGCTGTGACAGATTATGTATAAGGTAATGGCGGCTTGGGTTAGGGCTAAATCCTCAACATAATTCAAACTGAATAATATGAAGCCCTCTTTTTAGAGAAAAATAATTTTCTGTAAACTTCCAGGGTTCACTATTTTCTTTATTTTAAAACAAAAATCTTTAATGTTTATGCTGATGCAATATCTGAGTTCTTATCATAAAAGTGTGCAGTTAAAAAAATAACAATAAAGGCAGCTTAGGAAATCTCCAGTGTTTCAAAGAAGCACTTTTAAAAATATTTATACATGAAGAGCATTTAGTTATATTGTAAAATAAATGCAGCACTATAAGATAAAGGAAGACTAATATATATGGAGTTTTGGCCTCTTTCCCCCGACATGCTGAAACCATCTTTAACTTG